CTGGCGAACGACTTAAACACTACTCTCAACTTTTCCAAGCCCTCTGGGAAAAGTTTAAATATAAATAGTTCTGAATTCGGCAAGCCAGAAAATCCCATTATTTATTTAACAATTGTAAACAGCATTTGTTGGAAAGGTTCAAGTTAACTCTTGCTTGGACAAAATCAGTATTGGATCGCATTTGAATCACTATATCTGGCGACCGACTTAAGCACTACTCTCATCGGTACTCCAAATGAACGAAGGAGAAGGCCAAACAACTGATATTAAAGAAATACCCAAGCAATTCGTTTTGAGCCTGCACTCGAGAAAAGGGAGCAGAGGGCTTGGAGAAGCTTAAATATAACTAACAACTAGTAGATAGAGGCTTAGTTCTGAATTCGGCAAGCCAGAAAATCCCATTATTTATTTAACAATTGTAAACAGCATTTGTTGGAAAGGTTCAACCTAACTCTTTCTTTGACAAAATCAGTATTGGATCGCATTTGAATCACTATCTCTGGCGACCGACTTAAACACTACTCTCATCGGTACTCTAAACAAATGGAGGAGAAGGCCAAACAACTGATATTAAAGAAATACCCAAGCAATTTTTTTAGAGTCTGCACTCGATAAGAGGGCTTGGAGAAGCTTAAATATAACTAACAACTAGTAGATAGAGGCTTAGTTCTGAATTCGGCAAGCCAGAAAATCCCATTATTTATTTAACAATTGTAAACAGCATTTGTTGGAAAGGTTCAACCTAACTCTTTCTTTGACAAAATCAGTATTGGATCGCATTTGAATCACTGTATCTGGCGAACGACTTAAACACTACTCTCATCGGTACTCTAAACAAACGGAGGAGAAGGCCAAACAACTGATATTAAAGAAATACCCAAGCAATTTTTTTAGAGTCTGCACTCGATAAGAGGGCTTGGAGAAGCTTAAATATAACTAGCAACTCGTATAATTGATTAAAATTGACATTCGTGTGATTTTAATTAGGGCTCCAACCACATGTGTGTTTAAACTAACGTCTTCCTATATTAAATACTATGTTTAATGCCAAATTAAAGCCATTAACTAATTGAAATAAATAATTTATAAAATAAAAGAAAGAAAATAGGCTCAAAATACGTAATGTTTCGGCAGTAAGGACTTCTGGCTACAGTACTTGTATATTATCTATATTTGCATTGTTGTATATTAATATTGTACAGTTAACATGTAAGTAATCCACAGTTAATATCTTTAATAGACAGTCGATGAACAATGTGTTGAACCACTTCAACAGTTTTCTTGATCTTCAGGATGATAAGCTAATAAGCCTATTTGAATTGTAAGATGTACAGGTCAGAAATAAAGAAATAAAATGTTAGAAATACAGAATTAATGTCATTAAACATCCTTTTCTTCTGAAAATGCAAGTACATTTTGCATTAGGCAATGCATGAGAATCCTATCTGCACTATTTAAATATCTTATGGTTGTAAATAGAAAAAGAATCTTAATTGCACAGTCCCTTTCAAATGTAGCTTCTACTTTTCAAGTAAAGATAATTTTGCGAGCTGTTTTCATAAACATCTTCCAAAGTCCCCAAAATAGATAATAATAGCAGGATACACCTTTTTATTCCTTCCATTATCCAAACAACCATTTAAAGCTCTCACTTTACTTTCCACACTATATATTATCTTAACTACTTATATTCCATTAAAAATGTACTTTGCACCGATGCGAGATGTTCTTGACTTTCAAGTGCGATCGAAAGCTAAGTAGTAATAAAAACTGGAATAATATTTATTGTAAAAAGGCTCGGCAACTGTTCAAAAGTATTTTGAAAGAGCAACGACTCCAATAAAGTGCACGCTATAATGTTCACGCTATAATGTTCACGCTATAATGTTCACGCTATAATGTTCACGCTATAATGTAAATATTTTGAAAGACGCTTCAGGAAGTGGCAGCCGGAACTGATGGAACGGGCAACGGAAAACTTGCCAACACATTTTCCATTATGCATTTTCACATTTTAAAATTCACGAATAACGTACATATTTAATACACGTGTGTAGGTGAGAACCGAAAACTAAACAAGAACTGCACTTTCAAACCTAGAACTTATGCAGATTTTAATTAACTTAGTGTCAACTAGAGATCTACTTAGTTAGTCTTTAAACGTGCAGAACTTCGTCAGACAAAGCTCCTGACTCTGAAAAGTCAAGGTTGATGTGAAATATTTAAGGTGTGTTGGCGGCTTTTAATTAAAAATAAACAATTAGAGCGCGCACAGGGAATACAATTACTCACTCAACCCACACACACGCACTGAACTAGACAGACAGACAGACAGACAGACAGACAGGCAGACAAACAAACACGAGATTCATAATTGGCATTGACTATGCTAACGATGATCCCGTCGCTGTTGATTATGGACATACAAATTGGCAACAAATAACCGAGCAGTGCAATGCAACCATAAGCCACTTACCGCTTCTGCCAAACCCCTATACCCACCTATACCCATTTCCATTTCCATTCCCATTCCCAGTCTCATCTCCATATCCATTTCCATTTCCAGTTCCATAGCCTTTGCCTTTACCATTCATTTCGTTGGACATGGCCAATCGGCCATGTTATTCGAATCGGAATCGGAGCCTGCTGTGTGTACCAGTTTGCCGTTCGGGCGGTTGCCCAGACGATTCCGATTCCGTTTGGGTAATTGCAACTTAATGAAAAGCATTCAATTGTGCAAATTAATGAAATGTCTGTCGGTCTTGTATCGATGCGTCAGTCAACAAAGCGGCAGTAGATGCCGGATGTCGGATGTCGGGTGGCGGTTGGCGGGTGGCGGGTGTCGGAAAGGGAGGAGACAGGAGCCCAAAAGACATCAGACAGCAGTTATTTTGGGGTGGTGGCGTGGGGCACGGGGCATGGTTTTCGTTGAGTACCTGTTAATTACATTGATGATGGCCACAGAAAGCGTTGGTTGACGGGCAGGTCGCGACTGAAAGTGGCTTCAAAATCCGTCGACTATTGTGGAAAGCTTTTGAGCCGCAATCGAAATACAAGTAAACGGAACTGTTTGAATAATCAATTTTGTGGTTTAAGTCACTAGCTGGGGAATGTACCCAAAGTTTATTTAATGTAGCTGTACAATTGTGCACAGTATTGACGAAATTCTGTAGCGGTAAATGCACAGAAATACAATTGTAATTCGTATACGTACTTATAAGGGATCTAGGATATGGCTAAATCGGCTTGGCTGTTAATGCTGACCAAGAATAAACTTATATACTTTATGGAGTCGGAAATACTGGTTTCAGCTTATCACATTTTTAGCATTGTACAAACCTAATATACTTTTTATAACTTTTTAGGTACGGCGGATAAAAACGCAATCGAAAATAATAATAATTCTGTGAAATTCGTTCGGAAAGTGTTTATACAAGTAGATGATGTTTATTGAGATATATTCTTCGGCTTACTCTTCTCCATCTTCACAGCCAACTCTGCATGACCATTTAGAGCTCCCTGGTTCCCCTAGAGTAGAGCCACCAATAATCTTCGCTTTCGACTGAATTTTTATCCGCTGAGTCGCGCTCTGTCGTGGCAGTCAGCACTCGGTAGCTGCTTGTTCCAAATGTGCAAAATAAAACTACAAAAAAAAGTTAGAAGACTCATTAAACTAGGCAAGAATTACGACAAATAATATTTGTTTACCTCAAAGCGATTCATGCTCTAATACTCTTAACCAAAGCAAACTGACTAGCTTCTAAATACAAAGCTTCTTTCAAATACAACTAAAGAAATAGTTAGAAGGCGCATTGGGTTTTAACAAAGAAATTCATTTTTAATTCATTCTTAACTAAAAAACCCAAGCTAGCTAGCTTCTAAATACATGGCTTCTTTTTTATATGACTAAAGAAATAGTTAGAAGGCGCATTAGGTTTTAACAAAGAAATTCATGTTCCTATATTCTTAACTAAAAAAAGTAAACAAGCTAGCTACTAAATACATAGCTTCTTCCAAACACAATTAAAGAAATAGCTAGAAGGATCATTTGGTTTTGAAAAACTGATTAAACTGAGCAAGAATTGCGTCAAAAAGTATTTGTTGACCTCAAAGCAATTCATGTTCAACTTAAAATAGAAAACTATTTAAATGAATACACTTTTTGTTAGGATCTGATCAGATTTTGTAAGTTTCTAAATACATAGCTTCTTCAAAATACAACTAAATAAAAAGTTAGAAGGCTCGTTAGGTATTAAAAAACGTATTTAACTGAGCAATAATTGCGACAAATAATATTTGTTCAATTTGTTCAATTCATGTTCTAAAACTCTCAACCAAAAAAGGTTAACTACTTAAATGCAATACACTTATTGTTAAGATGTGATCTGATTTTTTAAAGTTTACGCAGCCGCTGCCACATTCCGCTATTCGGATACTTTCGAATCCGTATACCGCTCTGGATACGCTCCTATCTGCTCATACTCACTACTCGCATATGCACATCGATGCCCGCATACCGTTAAACAGTGACAAAAACTAAGTTACAGACTTTTTTGCCACATCCGGGCCGTTTGCAGCAGCCATGTGGGTCGAATCGAGTTTTGTCACCCAACTGTAAATGAAGAGTTTTTTCCCCGCAATGACGTTAGAAAGTTTGCAGGGCAGCTCTGTCCTTTTCGTGCGGTGGAGGAAATGGAAAGGCACGTGATCAGCGTATTTGTGCTCCTTTGAAAGTCTAACCTGCAAAGGTTTGCAGGATGTGCTTGACAAATTTGCAAACATTTAGAATGGGCAATGGGGTTTTTATTGTGATTTGGAAGCCATTGCTAAATACATATGTGTGTGGGGAGGGGAATACTTGTATTCTGCTAATAAAAATAAAATAAAGTCAATAGGTTTTTCATCTCCAACTTAATCTCGCTCTCCCTTCTTTACAGTTTTAACCAGAGAAGAGCACAGCAACAACAACAACCAATGCCACACTTCAACGCAATATCAACATGAATGTCGAGCAACAATCAGTTGGTGCCACACAGCAGCTGCCGCCACCGCCGCCGCCCTCGCAGCTGAACACCGCTGACAGCTACGTGGGCGCGGCGGCATCATCGGCCAACGCCGCCATGGCCCAACTCCAATACGCGAATGTGGTACCGTCTAGTAGTTACATGACCATCGGAATGCCCAGCATAGCGACCATATCGACAGCCCCGCCTACTCCCCTGCTGGTCACCTCGCCCCCCTCAACGAGCACATTCAAAACGCCGCTTCTGCCGATGCCCACACTGGAGGACATCGAGGTAGCCACCGCGGTTCAGCCACCCGGCATCCTAAAGTATCCCGTATCGGTACCCGTCTCCACCATGGGCTATCCCGGCGAGTCGGCTCTCCCGAGCGGAAACAGTACGAGTAACAACTGCGGCACGCTCAAGAGTAACGCGAAGCTCTTGACTGTGGCTCCGACGCCCTCGCAACCGCCCCCACAGATGATGCCCCTGCAGCTGAGCACACCAACCCTAACGCTGACCATGCCGGCACCGCCGCCAACCTCTGTCGGCTCCACAACAGTCAGCTCGGCCGCCAATTCTAGGCCCCCAGTTCAGCAGCGCAAGGAGACGCATCAGCAGCAACAACAACAACAGCAACAGCAGCAGCGGCAGAGACAGCGCCAGGCACAGGCTCATGCAAGCGGTCGTTGGTGCGCCTGCTTCAGCTCCGAAGGTGCCACAAATGGTGCAGGTGGCGGTGGAACGGGTGGAGGTGGTGCTGCTGGTGGTGGTGGTGGTGGTGGTGGTGGTGGGAAAGCGCCACCAAGCTACGCAACCAAATCAAAGAAACGCAAACAAACGGCCCAAACAGTTTGGTCCGCATTGCTCACTAATTTGGGAATCTGCACGCTGCTGTTGGCTTACACGCTATTGGGTAAGTGTAAAGAGTGTCTGTCTGTCTGTCTGTCTGTATGTGTATGTGTGTGTGTGTGTGTGTGTGTGTGTACTTGCAACGTTGCATTTGAAACAATACGAGGGCAGAAATCGTGTGCTCGGACTAGAAAGAGTCTACCTAACCATTTGGCTACCCACCGAATCGTTCAGCAAAAAAATATCGTGCTTTTATCTATAAACTTTATAATGTGATGCAACATTTTAATATTTAATATTTTTCCATTTTATAATCAGAGCGCATATCATAAATTTTCTGAGACTAAACAAATTTTTATCTTAATGTAAGGAATGAAAATACAATTTCCTGACAAAGTTTTTTAAAACTAGCTCTTATACTTTCTGAGATCTTTGTGTTCATACAGACGGACGGACAGACGGACAGACGGACATGAATATATATACTTTGTGGGATCTGCCACGCCGTCTTCTGTGTGTTACATACATTCGCACAAAACTAGTATAACCTCGTAATTAATATTAGGGGACTTTTTTGTCGAAAAACTGCTGAAATAGAAAACTTTAATTAATAATAAATAATGCTTTAAAACCATATAAAATGATTTGAAAATGCCTCAAAAAATTTTAACATTATTAAATGCAGCATTAAATGAAATGGAATTCATTGAACATTGATTATATGTAATGGATTCGAACTAAATTCAAAATCATCTAAGCTGACAAGTTATTTAGATTTAAAATTCATCGAAGTGGAATGATATGGCCAAAAAACCATTTAATTTGCGAGTTAATAAATGAACATTGCCTTTTAATTGACAGGAGGGGCAGATAATATTTCTGTGGGCCAAAATTCCAACCAAACTATACATCTCAACTACTATATCGAAATGGCTCTGCACTTGGACTTTAGGAAACTTACGTTCATTTTAAACTGTTACTTTAAAAAGCAAATATTTTTTGTAATCTGAGACTTTTCCATAAAAACTTTTTATTTTTTACCTTTCATTGGTAAACAGGCCCTGGCTAGAGCTGCAAAAAGAATCTATTTGTTGATGAACATTTTTGCGAAAACTCGATTTAATTTTCGAGAATCGACTTATCATATAAAGTTAAATGCATACTTGAATTAGCACATCATTACTTGAAAGTGAAGCTGATAATGTATGATATTATTGAAAATGGCAATCAAATTTAATTTGTTTCACTTAAGGATACGTCTATTTTATTTTTGAAAACATTGAAAAGGATCGATGCAGTTAACATATTAAGATTAAGATTTGGCAGATCTAGCATAAGCATTCATTCTTACATTATTAACTCATAATTATTTGATATGTAGCTTTTAGTTTTTATGAAATATGAATATATTTATTTATAAACCTTATCGTAGCTTTATCAAGTATCAGGTTACTTTTAAATTATTCAATTTTCATATTGCATTTTCATATAATTAATTTTATTCAACATTTTTATTATTCTTTATTATTATTTTATATTTTTTTAAAATTATATATGTGCAGATATGTATAACCCATTTATTTAAAAATATGCTGAAAGACTATTAGGATTTAAAAATATTTATTTTTATTTTTAAGATCTGATTATATGGTATCATTGAAATTTCTTCAATCATGCGTTCTGTCACAATGGTTGTGTATTTATAAATTAAAATGTTGTTTCTTTTCACTACAATATATTTTTCCTACAATCATTTTTGTAAGTTATAATGCATTTTTGTGCTGCTGGTGTTCAAGTAAATTCGTTTGATCTTGTTATAAAATCCAAAATAATAATTGCATATATCTTTGTCGTTATTGTTATTGTTGCTGCTGCTGTCGTTGTTGTTATGCCCACGGGTTCAGTCTAATTAACACGCCGTTTCTTTGATGCAAAACTTGAATTCATTTTTTTTTTTTTTTGTTGTGGAAGTTTGTGTGTGTGTGTGTGCGTGTGTGTCAACAATATGAATTGACAATGTGTATTGTTAGGTTTTGGGGCACAGCGTGAAACGAACATGTGCCACAAACAGATATGTAAACAGATGCAGATACACATACAAAACGGCAGCTGTGCATATGTATATGTAGGTATACTGCTATATGGTTAATGGTTATGTATATGGTTAATGTATCTTGTCAAGACTTCGACGTTTAAATTACCAACAACAATGGAAACAAATGACAGCAGGAGGGAGAAGAAGAAGCAGGACAGGAAGAAGCTGAGACAGCAATGGCAGAGATGGCAGAAATGGCTGCTTCACCGCATGACAACGTGATAAATTTAATTAATCATTTAGACGCAGGCCAAAAGTAAACACAAAATGGCGGCCTTCTGTCGCAAACTTCTGTAGCATACTTATGTGCGCTCCCATATTAAAACCAAGGCATATGTATATATGTGCATACCATATGTATATGTACATATGTATGTATAGTATAGTATGTACACACGCAAGCACACACACACACACATGTACGCATACACATATGTACATACATGTGTCTATTTGTTTTATAAAAGACGACAAGCCAAAGCACAACGGCTGCGTTGACAAGCGTCAAGGACTTGAAGCGAAATATCGAGCTAAAAAGAACGGATGGGGCAGAGATCGAGAGACATGCAGAAGGCAACACATGTTTTATAAAAAGCTTTAAACAAATCGAAGTGCATGTATGTGTGTGTGTGCGTGTGTGTGTGTTTGTGTGTGTGTGTGTATTTGACAAAACACAACATTTTGCACAACAGCTGACAAAAAAAAAATAAAAAGTTTGTCAAAATATTCTTGCGTGTCTCATGCCTACTCGTGTGTCGCTTGTTGGGGCAAATCATTAAATGACATAAACAATTATTTAACTCTCGCTAGGCGACGGCGTGTGACGTCAGGACATGACAATACGACATCATGCATGCCAATGTGTATATATGTATGTGTGTGTCTGTGTCTGTGTCTGTGCATGTGTATGCTGCCTGTTGCCCATCGCTGTCATGTCATAGTCCCTGCCATTTGCCATTTGCCATTGTTCCTGTATTCTTGCCCGTTGTCGTTTCGAGTGCGCATTTTAACGCTTCAACAAAACTTTCAAGTTGCCCGACAAATTTGTAACTTTTTTGTGTGCGTTAATATGTGAGTGCGTGTGTGTTTTTGTAGCGACGCAACCGAATTGGTGGGCTGTTTAAATTATTTGCAGGCTATTATTTATTTGTAAACTATTGCAGAATTATGCTCAAACGAAACTTTAACTTAAGAGCCTGATTAAGTCGAGTAATACAAGACAAACAAAATGGCATTATTTCGAGAAAACAAGCATTTATTTATTCAGAAAATTCGATGAGCTGCAAATAAAAATCAGTCAAAAATATCAGTTAACAACCAGTCAGGAAAATTTTAAGTGAATGCTTGAAAAAATTCAAGCAAAATTCAAAGAACAATTCGATTTCAATAGGATATATAAGCTATATTGAAAAATAACCTCATGTAATCAGCATTCATTTATGGTGTTCAATTTCCTTGGGCTAGTTGTTATTCTATTATTTTGCTGTCTGATATCAAATGTCAAAGGTACCAGTCAAACAGTCCTCGAATTTCCTTAGAGTATGTGCTAGAAACACAGCCAGATTCTTTTCACTTCACAGCGTACATCCAGCACTCCAACTTACTCCTGCTCCTTGGACCACTTCATGGCTAAGCCCGCCTTGTGCCCCCTCACGCTTCATATTGCACGTTTCAGTTAAAGTTGGGTTTTATCATTGTTATACATATATACACACAGATATATATTTATACGCATGTATGTATGTATTATTTTTAACTTTGACATGTGTTGGCTTTTCCGCAACCATTTGTATACATGTATATGTGTATTTGGTGTGTCTGTCTGTGTGTGTCTGTGTGTGTGTGTAACATCAACTCATCATTCAACAACATCATTTGCAGGCCCATAATGGCTAAAGGCCCAAAGCAACAGCAGCGGGAGTGACAAAAACTTTTGGCGGCCAACAAAAGCAACAAAAAGTTTCAAAAACTTGACAAAATGGCGCGCGCACATTATAAATATGACACAGTGTATGCGTGTATGCATACATATGCACATATATACATAAATACATATGTACATGTGGATCATATGCTTATGTATACTCACATATATTACAAGTATGTCTCTGCATATCAGTTGTAACAACTACACGCAGACATTAGCAAGATGACAGACATGCGTCAAAATTAAATTTACACTGCATTAGCGCTACTACACATTTACGGTTTAATAAAAAAAAACACTAAATTATAGTTATTAACACATGGTGTTGTTCACTGCTAAAGAGCAGATAAGAACAATGGTTCCCTATTCTAAGTTTCTCACACAATTTGAATGTGCACTTTAAAATCGGAACATACAAGTATATTAGGATATGTGCAGAATTATTTTTTTAAGCTTATATTTTTGCCAAATTTGAGTACGAAATTCCAAGAGAAATCACTAAATGCGAGGTAGTAAGGAGGTGCATCAGAAAACTTACATAGGAGGAATCTGAATACCAAGTTTGGCTTGGGAAACAAATGGAAATACATATGTAGATCGACTCAATCTGCCATACTGATGAATTATATATAGTATGTGGTGTCTGCCACGCTTTCTTCTCTATGTTACAGACATTCGCTCTAAACTAAGTAATACCTTTTACCCTTGTGCAGGTATAAAATTGCTCACATTCATGACCAACTGGTATAGATATAGTCAAGAGAAGAGTGCACGAGTGGAATTTATTTTAAATAAGAGAGTAGCAGGAGGTTCGCATTAGAACTCATGATTTACTCACGCGGATAGGCTGCTTTCGTACTTTTATTTATTTCCCAAACAAGTCCCTTATAAATGCAGTTCAAATATCAAAGAATTACTTTAAATAAACAACAGTCTTAACAAAAAAATATTCAAACCATTTTAACATCAATTGATATTCATTAAAAAGAAAAAAATATTACGCAAATATTCTTCTATAATAGTGTAGGTTCAATTATTGTTTTTTTAGCTTCGTAACTACAAGTACATACATAGTTATGGATGAAAAGCAAGAGTTAATTTGTAAGCAACTATTTCTTAAAGTATTCTCGTATTATTATTGCATCAGCATGCAAATGGAGAAAGAAACATAAAAAAAATAAACACACGAATTGATAGCCTCCTCCTTTTTTGAAGTCGATTAAAAAGGACAGTCATGGCATATTTAATTGATTTACAAAAACAAATTTGCAACAATCGTGAGTATGAAAGAAAATTAAATTGTACTTTGAATGCTTAGGTATGAATGCATTGAAGGTCCAAGGACGGACCCACTTAGGATGCCTTACATATTGTAGGCTCTTTGCCAGGTCAACATTAACTATTCCAGTTCGACTATTTTAAAGAACGTAGCAAGGGTGGACCTTTGGTATTGCGTTTTGTCCTGCCAGTGCAAAAGAGATTCTGCCCTATGTTGTGCCTTCGTTTTGCTCCTGCCGGGAGCCACTTTGCCTAATTTAAGCAAAATCGACTGTGGTTGGGAAATATGAGAAATGTTGGCTCATCAATGCTCCATTATGACAAATGCTGGCACTTTGACTTTGTTTGCATGTGACCCTTGTGAAAGGACTATGCACATACAAGCGTACATATGTACATATGACTGTGTGTGTGTGTGTGTGTGAATGGGGATGTGTGTGGATGTGCCGCCCATTAACAGCGACTACATGAGCCGCTTGCGCTCTAATAAAGCAAGTCTGACCTCGCTCGAGCAGGAGAAGTGGCAGCAACCAAAGCACTGCACACAAAGTGAAAAACAGGACCAACGGACATTAGGAAGTGGACAACGGACAATAACGGACAACAGCGGACAACTGACAACACAAATGAGTTGTAGTTTGCCGCCAGCAAAGTGTCAATGTGTGTGCCTGACTGATGACGACGACGACGAGGACGAGGACGACGAGGACGCTCATTTCGTGCGGGTCACTTACTTGCAGTCTAATTCTCTCTCCAACACATGCCTTCTCTCTCTCTCACTCACTCACTCACTCACTCACACACACACACTCACTCTCTGTCTCCCCTCTCACTCTGTTTTGTGTGCTCTATTGCAGGCTCCTTCATATTTCTAACGATTGAGAACGAGGACTCGGCGCTACTCCACCAGCAACACACTCTGGCCTCCACCAAGCGCAATATGGCAGCAGGCGATGGCAGCATCTATCAACAACAGCAGCGACAGCCGCAACATCAGCAACAACTGCAGCACGGGGACAATGACACCGTGGCCGCTGCAGTGGCCTTCGCACATGGAGTTCTGCCCGAGGGCAGCTCGGCATCCAATGATTTTGTTTATGGCGAGGATGCGGCGCCACAGTTCGCCTTATCACCGGATACCTATGATGTACGACAGCGCACCATTGAGAATATCTGGGACATTACCGTGTCGCTGAACATACTCTACAAAGAGAACTGGACAAAGTAAGTAGGCGGCCACCATAAATCCGTCTCTATGTGTACATCTCTGCTTGTGTGTACACTCTAAAAACGTTTCTAAGACCCTCGAAGAAAAAGCAGTCGAAACCTACGACAGCTTAAAAGCCAGTTCTTCATTTTATTTTGCACATTATAGTAAGTGGAAATTAAGATTGTGTCTACAGTGAAGCAATCATACAATAAACATATAATATAAGCAAATAAATTAACACATATTTCAAATTAAGTTTTGTAAATTAAATACAAAATAATTCATTGCAAATAAGTATAGTACTTCTTTCCCGGAGTTAAACACATGATGGTACCTAAAATGTCAGGACAAAAGAGTCAAAATCATTATGACACTAACCAAGAAATAGGGGAAGTTAAACTTAGTAAAGAAAGGCATTCTAAGGCGTAAGAGTGCCGTCTGTCGATGCATCATCAATCCATGGAGTTATTATGGCATCCAGATTTAGGGATTGGCTGCGGCGTTGAACCAAACAGTCCAGAATAAACACTTTTACGTACTCTTTCTAGGGGGAACTGATACGTCAGGGGTTCTACGCTGCACCATGATTTGAATCTGGAGAACTTAAAGGCTTAATAGTTTAGTTAGGGCCGATTCCTCACTTAAATAAATAAATAAAAGAAAATAAATATAGATCAAGTTATAATTGTCCGCTGTTCCCATTCAAGTAAAGCTTACTGTACGAAATGTTAAAAAAAAATGAAGAAGGCATAAACACATTGTATAGCAACCCTTCAGAAAACTTAATATTTGCCGCTTTGGCATCTGCCCCAAACGGGTACTCCTGCAATGAACTAATTTTCCTACATTGTGTCTAATTGTATTTATTAGTTTGAAAACTAACGTGTTTTGAATGCTCCAAGAGCTTTCTCTATAAAGAATAAGACATTTTTAACCTGGCCTTATAAGAATACTATATTTATTAATTGAAGTAAAGAGCCTGGATTCGTTGCCAGAGTTTTACTTCCATTTATCTAGCGAATAAATGATTTAAATTATGAGGGTCTACAGAAAAACTTAGATAGCTGCTTAATGTAATAGATTAAAATATTAAAATATATGGATAGGAAATTGTGAAATTTCGAGCTCTAATTCAAACAATAATACTTTAAACAATTTTGAGTTTTGACTACTTAGATATTATGGAACAAGATCCAGAATTAGCCCTGAATCTATCAGGGAACTCCATTATTTTTATTTGCCTAACTAAACTTTTCCGTCTGGTTATCCGTTAAACTATCGGTCAATATTTGGCAATAAATCAATACATGGGAGCCACTACTAAATATTTTTTTTTTTTAAAAAAGGCAACCATTGCGCCAGCTATAAAAATATTTTTTTATTACAGCTGGAAGAGTAAGGGCTTTACATATTTCTATTAATTAACATACATTTTTTCGCTCGGTGTAAAAGCTTTTATTAACCGCTCTCCATACTTCCGCTCTCTCTCTCCCCCGCTCCCCCGCTCTCTTCCTCTCGCACATCCAGATTAGCCGCACTTGAAATTGCCAAGTTTCAAGACCAATTAATCAAGAGACTGAACGAGGATGTTATGCTGCAATTATCACACGACGATGTGGCCTCTGGCCATGGCCATGCTGCGGTGGCTGGCGGTGGGGGCGGCGGTCCTGGTGGCTCTGGCAACAATCCTGCTACGGAAGCTGTACTTCTACATACACATTTTCATCACCATCGTCTGGGTGGCGGTGGCGGACCGCCTCACGAGTGGAATTTTGCCAAAGCGTTTTTGTATTCGCTGACCGTTCTGACCACAATTGGTAAGTGCCGTGCAGTAGTCGCATGCTCTACATACATACATACGTACATATGTATAGTACGTACTCGTATGTAGGTAGGTTTGTATATACTCGTATGACCCTCTTTATGTGCCCGTGTATGTGTCCCATAAATTTTATGCCCCATGAACGGAAATTTGTTTTACGCCAAGTGCGATGCTCCTTACATTTATATCAGAGGCCATAGCACGGGTTCAAGTCGTGTCACGGCGTGCCACATGTCATGCGGCTGCACTCATCTGTCACGGCTGTGTGGCTGCCCCGCAGTTGCACTCAGAGCAGGCGCACTTTATTACTTAACTGGACTTGTTCAATGTTTTAAAAGGTAGTGTGCCCCAAGAAAAGTCTGATATATGTACGTCGCCTATGTGGGTATATACTCACACATCTGCATTACATAAGTATGCACAGATATGCCTCAAGAACATCAAAATTCTCTAAGTACATAAATAAATTATAATGGACCACAGTCCACAGCTAAAAGACTATGAAGTGCTGAGCTTTTGAGTCCTTTAACGCTTACAAAATTGTCAGCAGTAAAGATAACACTAGGAATGTAGAAATAAATAATTCTGGTCGCGTAAATCTTTAGAAAGAAATTACGCAATCTGAAGTCGACCACACATTCGTTATTGAAGCACTATTTCTTATTAAAATGGAACAGAGTTGGACTTGTTGTAGTTGTTCTGATGATCATAAATTATTATTTTAATACATCGTGCAATATTTAATCAAGATAGTGTCTATACAGTTATAATTCACTGACTACTAGTGGGTACATGAATGAAAATATTAAAAATCAAATCAATATACTCGTACACACAAAAAGCTTAAAATAAATGTTGTCCTGGGAAACCAGCAAAGAAACAAGTTGCATTTCAACAACAAAAAATATGATCCACTGTCTTGCTTCGCCGAAACAACAAAAAAACAGCGAGAGCGAATTCACCACTTGTGGGGCTAGAAGAAGAGCAACAATTTAATATGCGAGTCGATAGAAGGCTCTAGTTCGGCTGGCGCAAGGCCCTAACAATGCAGTTGCAGCTGCATTTGCAGATCAGCCGCTGCAATGTGAGCAAGAGAGCGCAGCCAAATTATGCTGAGAGCAAGAGAGCGCTGAGAATTACAGTATGATAATGAGAGCCAGAGAGCCCTGACGCAGCCAAATTACGGTATGATATGTTTGTTGGTACAAATAGAAAGCAATAATTGGCTATGAAAGTTACATTATGTGAGGGGCGATTCAAATTTAAGGCAAACAATAATTAGATATGACAAAAAATATTAAACAAAAGTAGAAAATTATATATGTATTAGAATTATAATTATGCTTACAAAGTTTTGTTAACGTGTGTAGTTTTGGATTAATGGTATGGACAGTATTGATGAAATTATGTGGCGGGGGACGGGTGGAAAATAAATAAATTAAACTCGTTTCATTTCATCAAAGCAGACGGATACTATAGATCGATTTCTCTCATGCTCATTACGAATATATTTGTATACTTTATGGGGTCGGAGATGGTTCCTTTTCGCTCTTACATAATTTGCATGGAAAAAATAAAACTCGTGTTGCCTGGAAATTATAAGAGTCTACATACCAAATTACAAGTAGGTCTATGTGTGTTGAGCCGTTCCCGAAACCTAGCCTTTCATTCATACGTACATACATACAAGTAGAACGTGGAAACTGCAATTGGCCATTGATTGTTTTTTTTTTTAAATTCAATAACTTGAATGTGAGTCTTTTCTCATTTTCTTATACCTTTTATTAGATTTCTAAAAGCTTTTATTAGCTTACAATTACTGAAGCATATACTACCATAAGGTACAGCAGTTTGTCTAAAATTTTCACAACAATTGCAGGCAAATATTTCATTAAATATTTCCCCAAAACTTGTGCATATTTTCCAAGATTTATATTTTTGAGTGAAAGATACTTGTAGACAAGGAGTTTTGTTTGAATTTGCAATTAGTACTTGCATCTAGGGCTCGTTAACATACATAAATGCAAGGGATTAGGTCCTTGATTAATAACATTTATTCGATACAAACGTAAGTGCATTGCAAAGACGTTACATTTTATTTATGTATATAATACAAGCCATTATTTTAATTTAAAAACTGTTATTTACTGGCGCATTTCGTTGACTCAAAGGCATCTATAAATATCTGCATACTCGTATGCCTTCTAAGCGTTCATCGCAATGTATATTTTTATTGTTATATACTACAATACATATACATATACTTGTAGTATATACTCGCATGACACACTTCTACTTGTATTTAAAATACTGCTGGCAATCGTTTAAGGCTCGCTCTTCCTGCATTTCAGAATGCTGTTCTTCTTGCCTTGCTAACGTGTGCGTTTTAGTGTATATATGTGCATATGTATGTGTGTGTGTGTGTGTGTGTGTGTGTGTGTGTGCTTGTGTACTCATACTACACACATAAAAATGTTTGTAGCTTGTATTTTTGTTATGTTGTCGGTAATTTCGTAGCCCAAAACAAGCCGAAAGTCAAATATTGATAGAGCAAAATAACAAACGAAGCTATTTGCTTAGCACGAATGGCCAATCCATGCATACAACCCAAACGCACACATACACACACATCACACACACATATACCATTTGCCTGGCTGCTATTTAAGTTGGCCAAATCCGCCCCCTACTTCCTTGCTTGCCATCGAGCCACTTTCCACTTGTGAAAATGCTATAAAATAAAATTTGCAAACATTTTTTGCTGATCTTGCCAGTTCATTCCAGCCTAGACCCAACCATGTGCAAGTGGCTTGGTGAATGTTTGTGTGTGTGTGTGTGTGTGTGTGTGTGTGTATGTGTGTATGCGTGTGGATACAGTCATACCTTGACTATGGACGGTGTCAGTGTCATGTACACGTATATGAAGAGTACAGGGGGCTCTCCAGAATCTTCAAGTTCCATAAACAATTTTGATTTACTATTGATTCTAAGGAAGTTTTAATTTTCCCCACGATTAGTATCATTTAGAATGAAACCTCCGTGGAAACTATGTCTATGAAGCTTGGAAAAGTAGTTTCTATGATAGTTATAATATCCATTTATTTATGCTTATCAGACTTGCAAGCAAAGAGACAAGGGAAGGGATAGCGACGGCAAATGTGCGAACTAATTTATGATGGTAATAAAAAAAATAAATAAAATAAATAAGTATAGTATGTCCACACTTCCTTTCATACTGTTGGCGCAGATGCTGCTTTAGATTAAGATAGTTTAAGAGAATTATTTGAATTTTAGTTTAGGGCGAAAAGAGAGCGCGAGAGCGGCCGTTTGCGGACGTCGCCTCGCGCCCTTTTTTCGCCGCCTTAGGCTTAGTTTAGCATGTAAGCCTAATTTGAAGTCAGTTGTAAAATAGAACTAAATATAAGCACAATTGTCGCCAAATCGTTCGCATTTTCCGCATTAAAAAGTTAAAAGCAAGCGTCCCATTCTTTCTTTGTTTTTAATAATTTATATAAAATAATATAAATTTTCATTGGCGCCCGAGCAGGGACTTGCTTGTTTTTTTTAATTAAAAACTTTAATTTGTGCGGAACCGCGTCGGTCGTGTTGTTGTTGCTGCACTGGGGAGTGTGTGTGTTGCTGTCACGTCAACTGGATTATTGGAGGATGAGTCAAGTCGACCAAAGGGAAGTTCCTGAGCCAAAGTCGACTTCACAGGTACTGTGCTAAAGTTTGAAAGTGGAATTTAACCAGCGAATTGCTTATTTCGGCCTTCAACTTTCAACCTTTGGCACATACGTGACCATAATATAATACGGTAGATAGTTGAGCATAATTAACACAAATATAAATCGCATGTCGTACTAATATTAAATAAAAGTGAACCGCTATAGGCAATTATTTAAAGTGCCAATTTATTGTCGTTTGATTTTGTTATACATACATACATACATAAATATACATAGCCACTTTTACATACGGCATCCCCCCCCCCACGTCAATCTCAGCCAACCGTCGGCAGTTTTCGTTTGTTGCTTGCTCTCGTTGTTCTCATCAAATTCGCCGTTGTCGTTATTACATATGTAAATATATACCGACATACTCGCATACATAACATAGCTAATACATTGCTGTCGTGTTCGCGCTTAAGCTGCTGCATTTTTTGTTTGCCTGCGCTTCGCATAATACATGCATAAGAATTAGCTGTTCTGCTAACGCACACAAGGCATTTGTATTAGAATTATTCTTTTCGTTTGTCGCCACTTTCGCTGCTGCTTTCAAAAGTATTGCCTTCGACGGTCAGTCAACTGCAGTTCTTCTCGTTTTCGTTCGCACTGCTAGACGACCATCTGTTGCGCTCCCCTACACTTGCTGAGAACAGCATATTATTTTCGATTTCTCGTTTGTCACTCGACAATTTTCGTTCGATCAAAGTAAAACCTTAAATCAATATGAGTAAGGACTTGATCGAAGAACTTAAAAGGAAGCGCGAGGGCTGTATGAGGAGTATATGTCGTATGCAACGGCAATTAAAAGAAGGCTCAATTTCGTTAGAGCCAATCGAGTTAGAATGCAGGTTAGAGCTTCTAACAACTCATATAGAAACTGCAAATATATTGCAAAGCAAAATTGAAGCAAAAGATACAGAAGATGACTACCGTGAAGAGTTGGAAGAAACTTGCATTATGACCAAATCCTTATTAAAAGGCCAGCTGGAAAAACTAAGAAGAAAAAGCATCGACAATTCAAGTTCGGCAAACGGTATTGCACCGCCTACTTCAAAAAAGCCAAGGTGTCGATTGCCAGCGGTCGCTCTTCCAACTTTTAGCGGCAAGCATTCTGAATTTAAAAATTTCATGAGTCTTTTTGAAACTTTTGTTCACAATGATGACACACTGCATGATATTGAAAAATTCAATCACTTAATATCATGTTTGGCTGGTGACGCTTTAGGCACAGTTCGCGCCTTCCAAGTGACGGAAGACAATTATAGCA